GATTTGTCTTCTGAAAGATAGCGACTAAGAGACAGATATGTAGTAGGGGGTCCTAAAGCCATTTTGGTATCATCATCTCTTTCTTCTGGCTTAATTTTTTGTGAGATTTCATATTACCAGAATACAATTGATTATATATTTTTTATCTGTTCTGGGAGGCATCTTGGATAACAAAAATAGGTAAACGGAAACCTTGGGCTTGAAGACCACTAACTCCGCCACAAGTCCTTTGTAAGCAGCTTTGGTGCCCAGAGAGAGTTCTGGAATCCCACAGTTATAAGCTCCTGCCAACTCTGTTCATTTTTCCCAGTGATTGAACGGAATCTCATGATTTCACATCTGTTCTCTGCTGTTTCTAGGACATGAAATCTACCATCATCATCCTTAGTCATTAAGGTATTTGTTAGCTTAGTCTTACAGCCGTGTAGAATCTTAGTTGGGTACTGGAGAAAGGTGTGACAGCTTTGATTTCAGACTTTTTAGCAAAAAAGTGCCATTTTTTTGCCTATTTGTAGTGACTTCTTGAAAGAAACAGAGATTTTTGAGACAACCACTGTAGGTAGAGAGCTTCGTTTTCAGGTGTAGGAGCTTTGACTCCCTAAGATGAGGTGACGCATCTGACACACCCCTTCTTGGAGGCTGTCTGACAGGGGTAGTGTGGTGGTGCTTTACCCTCTCTGAGGGGAAGAGCTGAGTGAGAGGGCTCTACCTACTCCCAGGAGTCAAGATACCACAAACACTTTCTTCCTACCTAGGAATTGCTTCCAAGTTGGTTGTAATATTTGAAATTTTCCTGGGCTGTGAACATGTATAGTAAGTAGCTCATGTCTCTAAGGGAAAGTTTAGAAACCCACTTGCTACTGAAATAAAACGTCTTTGGGATACTCTGAATGCTGCTCCAATTCCTCCATTTTATTGGTGATGTTTTTCAATCATTAAAATGTTAATTAGGAATAAGTTTTTGAAAAGAATTTGAATTTCCAATTATTCCTGTTGTATCACAGAAGTGTTTAAAATATGATAATCTTATTTAGCTATTTATGTCTTTCAATAATTACAGTATTAGGAAGACACTGGTATTGTAACATGAATATGATTAATGCTGAGAAGTGTACAGAAATACATGCAAATAAAAGCAGAGACACATCCTCAAAAGGGCACTGTATTCTAGGCATTTAAATTCAAAGCTTAAATAATGCTGGTGCTGTTCCTATTTTGTGCTTATTTTAGCTGCTGATCGTTCAGCTGGGACTCCATGTACTGGAAGTAGGCATTTTGACAGCAATACAAGGTTTTCACATAGATGTGAGCGTCAATTCACAATTTTGAAGTTGTAAGGTTTAATTTAAGGACCTACTTTGTATTTAAAAATAGATCTGATTATGAACCCTTTTCGGATGTTGTAATAGCATGATAGTATGTGTTATTGGTGTGCCAGTCTTTATTGTGGAGAGGTGAAAACTTGATCTACAGCCTTTTGTCTCGAAACTCAAGGTGTATATATCAATCTACTAATATAGTATCTAGTGTTGCAATGTTTATAGTAAAGGAGGGCTGGGTTAGAATGACTTGTAAAGAAGTAATTCAGCAGAGTCACATTTCACATAGCTGCACTAAATGTCACAATAATGAAGTTAGTGTCAGGTAGGCAGGGTTGTACTTCTATGTAATAGCAGACTTTTTATTCTTTTAATGTATGGTTTATTGTCCACAGTATTGATGTTTGGTGAGGCTAGAGCTCAGGTGCTTTTAAAGTAGTTTTTCTCTGGCCTCTCTGTTCCTTTTTTGTAATGGCACAAGTTTCTTTGGAACCAGGATTTACTTTCTTCTGAATCATTTTCTCATGCAAGTCAGTGCCTTAAATAGGTGTGTGCTGCACAAGGGAAGGTATGGCATGGGCCACGGCATGACTGCTTCCTTGGGTGGTGGTGCCGTTTCATACCAGTTTACCTAACAGATTAGTCAACTTTGTTTTATTACTTCCCTGAGTAATTTTTCTTTGTTCTTTTTATTTTTGCTTTTCTTTCTTTGTAGTACTAATCACAATGTCTTAACAATGAGTTATGTATAAGATATGCTTTACAAGACATATGTAAAATCCAGATCCCTTACAGTACCTAAAGGGGCTACAGGACGGATGGGGAAACACTTTATCAGGAAGTATAGTGGCAGGACAAGGGGTAACAGTTATAAGCCGAAAGAGGGCAGATTTAGATTTGATATTAGGAAGAAATTTTTCCCTGTGAGGGGGGTGAGGCAGTGGCCCAGGTTGCCCAGAGAAGCTGTGGATGCCCCATCCCTGGAGGGGTTCAAGGCCAGGCTGGATGAGGCTTTGGGCAACCTGGGCTAGTGGGAGGTGTCCCTGCCCATGGCAGGGGGTTGGAACTCAATGATCTTTAAGGTCCTTTCCAACCCAAACCATTCTATGATTCTATGAAAATTCATGCTTCTTCCACACCATAATTTTATTGCCTAGTGGCATATTGATGAAATGTGGCAAATTGGATTGAGCACTCCTGATGTTTTTCCTATGGATCTCCAAATATTTTTTTTTTAAATTCTTACTATTTAGAAGTGTTTGATGCAGTGTCAATCTGACTCTGCTGATAACAGTTACCTGTCACACATTGGTTCTTTGGAGCAGCAAGTCAGGCTGTGTTCTTGAAAGTAGAGCTTTTTTCCAAGCTTGCAACTGTGGTTCACTTGTCTTTATAGTCTGAGGCTTTAGAGAAGGTGAAAGGAGAAGAGTTCACACAGGTATATGTTAAACTTCTTGTGTTACTGCAGAAGTTTGTGTGTTGGTTGTAAAATGCAATGAATAAAACCTAACTTTTTCTTTTTCATGTACCTGCTGTTTGAAATTGCTTTGAAGGTACATACTGAACAGCTTTGATCTGTAGATTTCCATTCCAAGTATTTAATCCCTTCTGAACGAGGTTGAAAAATAATTGTTGCAAGCTGAGATGCTTAAATGAATACTCTTGGATTAGAAGGTTTTGGTTTTTTTTCTGGAAAGTTTCCGTTCCATTACTAGTGTTTGCTCTAAACTGGTTGCTTTCAGCTTGGTGGGAATCTTGATGATAATTCATGAAATAGGAGGAGGACTGGAATTTCTGTTTTCTCTTCCAAACAAAGTTATCTTTCCCTGGCATGTCTTTGTGCAGATAGAGGCATTAACAACATATGGTTATGCATTTAGTACCTGAAAAGCAATGGGAGCTAAGATCAATAGGTTGGGGGCACAAGGAGTGGGATGTGCCCATGATTACATGTATAATGACTGCTGAGCTGGAAAGATAACAATTTTTGTTTGTTTGTTTTCCTGAGGATTTGCTACCATATTTAGTTTTATTTTTTCATCTTTCATGGTAGCATTGTCCAACTTCTTTTGGAATAGTTTACTCATTAGTAGAACAATTTTAAACTACAGTTTGCATAGCAAGCAAAAACATCAAGGAGTTTGCCATGGGATTGAATGCTACTTCACTCAGTTTGCAACTTGTGCTTGAAAAGATTGAAGCATGAAGTTTTTTGGGACTGAATAGCAGTTCACATTAAATCCTGAAGTGTATCGGTGATGTGTATAGTTCACTTTTTATGTTTTGGATGGATTTATGTGTGATTTTTATACTGCTGTCTGCAGTTCTTGTACTGTAACCCAATTTTAAATATAACTGCACGCATTTAATAGGCTAGATGAGTGCTTCTTTACTTTTGAGAAAGTAGATGCCAGAGAAAGATGGATATGCTAAAGATAAGTATGCACAGATAAACAGAAATGCCGTATGCCCCAGCCTGTAAACGTATTTTCATGAACAAGAATCTGTATTTTTGCATCCTTTTCCTTCTTCTTCCTCCCTTACCCTTCCAACCTAGACCTTCATTTCTTCCTGCCTATTTCAGGAGCTTTAGACCTTTGCGCTGCATGAGTGATAACAGTCTGAATTCACAGCTCATGTAAAGTGTTTTTTTCTTCAATTACTTGCCATTCTTCTTCTTGCATTTGTCAGTGGCTCTAGAAGTGGTGGAGAGGAGCCTTCCTGTTGATTCTGCAGGAGAGGGTTAGTAGGGAGATGGGTAGGCATTCAGGCTAGGGAAGAGAAAGCAAAAAAAAGGAGAAAAAATTATTTTTTGCAGTGGCTGAGGGAAGCTGTGGTGGTCCCTCCCTCCTTCTGGGTGTGACTGACAGAGCTTCTGTTAGCCAAGATCTTCTCAACAGCTGTGGGGATTTTTTGGTGGGTGGGTGTTTTTTGTTTTTGTTTTCCCAGCAGTCTTTTAGTTCAGTCCTTGCTTTCTGATCACAAAGTAATGCTATAATGACACAGTAAATTTTGAGGGTTCTAAGTACCCTAAGACTGGGAAAGCAAACATTTCTCTTCAGATTGCTTTTTTTGGATCCAGTTCACCACGTAGCATCAAAGATTTATGTCAAAGAAAGGGAGGAGGTGCCTTTGGAGGCTGGGGTGAGGAATGGAGTCACGTCTTTATAAACTGACTGAATACCTGAGTATAAGCTCAGATGGCATGGGGCAAGTTAGTTAACCTCTGGCACATTGCTCCCGAACTTGCAAGTGCTAGTTTGATATGCATTTAAATTGGTACAGTTGTTGGGGAAAATAATTTTTGATTAATCTGTTCTGGTTTGTTCTGTTTCAGGTCTCCCTTGCAATTATGGAGTTTTAGAAGAACAAGGTAGTGTGGAGGGGGAATCCCCCTCTCCACACTTGAGGTAGTCCACTTTTGGAATTTTCTATGGACAAGAATATTTGTTATGTAAGATGATGAAATAAGACTTCTAAAAATATATATTTATAAATATTTATTTGAATCAAGTGCCAAACATATCAGGAAAAAGATTTCTAATGGCAGCTCAACAAAACTGGATTTACATCCTTGGAATTACAACTTTTTTAGGGCACTGTGTTGTTTACTGAATTGGAGTGCCTTGCTATACTTAAGGGTTGTTCCCCTTAAGGAGAGGAGCAGCTTCAGAAGTGAAGATGAGTTCTCGTATGCCAGACTGCACTACAAAGTGTCGATCTCTACAGCATGCTTTGGATGTTATTTCTGTGGTAACCAGAGGAAGTGAAGGCCAGATTAAGGCCTTTCTCTCTTCTTACTGCTACAATGCTGCAACTATAAAGGATGCCTTTGGTAGAAACGTTATACATCTTGCTTCATCTTGTGGCAAAAAAGGTGTGCTGGATTGGTTGGCTGAGACCAAAGGAGTAGATCTCTTGGCGAAAGACAAAGAATCTGGATGGACAGCTTTGCACAGAAGTATATTTTATGGATACATTGATTGTGTTTTGTCATTACTGAAGGTGAGTGGTTTGCAACTGTAGTTTTTCTTGGTATCTACAATTTTTAAGTTGCATTCATTATGTAAAAGTGGGTTTTTAAATTTACCTGAAAGCCTCTTGAGGGTTGTCTTAATACTGCGTTTAGATTGAAGGTTGTTCCTGTGTTTGTAAAAAAAAAAAAAACCCTGCCTTTGCCCATAAAGAAATCAACACTGAGTAGGGCTCCCTGATTAATTGTGGACATCCTTGAAGACTAGTTTGTGTGGATGATGTCAGGGTCAGGATCTTAAAGTGCAGAGTGATCAAACTAAAAATACTCTAAAAATAGACTCTTCAGTAGTTACACCAATCCGTGTTTTTAGAGAACATAAAATAATAAAAGCTTAAATGGAGTTATAATTAGAAATGAATCTTACTTTTGAGAGATAAACACTTCAAGATAGGGACCATTTTATTAAGCAAATTCTCATTTAATTCATGTTTTACCCACAATTTTTGCTCAGTCCTCCTCATTCCTTTCTTGCATTTGCTGTTTCTTCCCTACCACTTAGCAAGTTGTGTATATTTTTGATTGCTCTTTTGTTCCTCCTGTCCCATGTACAGTAAAGGGAAGAGCTACATATGGTTGAGATGTTCAGGGTCCCCTTAACCATGTAAGAATGTGAAATATCTGTGGTTCAGGGTAACTTAAGAGCAAACCTTTTGAGAAAGAGAATTTTCCATTTTCAGTTCAGCTTTTTAAATTGCAGTGACTAGCCATTTGTAAGCATTAAACTCTCCGCTTTCCACAAGCGGTTTGAGGAAAATGGTTGTAGATCTGGTAGGTTTTGATTCTTGATGCCCCACAGATACCCCATCCCTGGAGGGGTTCAAGGGCAGGCTGGATGGGGCCCTGGGCAGCCTGCTCTAGCAGTTGGCAACCCTGCCCACAGCAGGGGAGTTGAAACTAGATGATCTTTAAGGCCCTTTTCAACCCAGGCCATTCTATGATTCTATGATTGATGGTCTGGTAACTGTTAAATATGGATTTCACGTGCTATACCCTTACATAGTGAGGATGTTTTCATTAAACTTCAAAAAAGTAGGTGTTTGTGTGAGAATTGTACGTGATTCTGTTCTCTAGAAAACTGGAAACTATGTATGGGATGTGTGAAAAAGTATTCAGTCCTCTAGTGTGCGTGT